AGAAGGGGCCAGGGAGATGGCTCAGTGGAATAAGAGCTTCCCTGGCAAGCACAAGGGCCTGAGTTCAACCCCTGGTCCCATCAAAAAAAATAGGCATAAAGAATTATATAATTCTTATGTTTACACATAAGTACAGAAATCTAACCATATACAACCTTGTAGCAGGACAGTCCCACAACATTCCTTTTCCTGACCAAAATGACGGGTACTCCAAGCATGAACCTACTATTATAAAATGCCATATTCTGTAGGGATTTAAAGTTCAACATATCAATACTAGGTGAAAAATACCTGTTCCATGTTATGGCTAAAATATTTGATATGCAGACAGATAGTGAGGTTAAGCTTAACAGTCTAGGTTGCATGGTAATAACAATAAGCTTCTCTTCTGGAGGTTAACAACCAAAGTTTGCAGACCAAAATTAGAGAAAAAGGAGGGCCGCAAGGAAAGCCAACATTTTGGCCCTAGCCTTCCAAGGTCAATTAAGACTCAGGACATATGAGAGCTTGTATTGTAACGTCATGTAACTCAGTAGTGTCCCTAATTTTCTGATCAAGGAGATTATCGGGCCAAAGAAGAAAGTGATCGATGATGTTGAGTGTACCTAAGGAGAGTCACATGGAGAGAAAACATTCTCTCAGGCTTTCACAGAGAGCACATTGGCCAAGCAATGGCCATGATTCATCCAATGGCTGACACTGACAAAGGATCTACAATCTGAGGTACAGGATCTAAGGAAAAATCCTGAGGGGATTTCATTGACCTTATCAGACCCAAAAGCTTCAACTCTTGTTGCATAGGTCCTGCTTTACCTTGGTCTTAACCATTCAGCAGAAAAGTATAAAAATGAAGTATAAGAAGTAAAGCCGTGGTGTTATGTTGAGCTATAGGGGACACAGGTCAACAATTTCTGACACCGCCAGTCAAGAAGAAGACCCAATACTATTATGGACTACTGGACTCTTTTAGAATATTTTGCTGAGTTAACATACCTATAATATTCAAATAACAGAACTACACAAAAAAGGGGATATAGATGACTGTCCATTTTGTATCTGTGCATTCAAAATGGTTAGGATAGATATATAGATACATTCTCTTAATGAATAGAGGGATTTATTCTAATAGTGTTTGTAAATAGGATATCATGTCTGTATCCTGCACATCAAATAACCACTAAGAAGAGAGTATGCAATGTGTTAATTTTTGAAACTGTCCTACCAATTTGGTTTGAAACTATCTCATTGCTACTTGTTTCTCAATAAAATTATGGGAAAAAATTAAACATGGAGAGAAAACATTTTCTCAGGCTTTCACAGAGAGCAAATTGGCCAAGCAATGGCCATCACTCATCCACATAGCTGACACTGTCAAAGGATCTACAAACTGAGGTAAACGGTCTCAGGCTAAAACCTACGGGGATTTGACTGACCTTATCAGATACAAAAGCTACAACTCTTGTTGCATAGGTCTTGCTTTATCTTG